ATCAACACATTCGAGGATGCTCGCAAGGTTGATTTGCAGAACGAGAGACTTCCACCCAGCCACGACGAGGTTGTGAAGCAGCAAGATGAGGACCGGAAGCAGGCGTTGGAGAAGGCGGCCGAGGATGCGGCCAATGACAAGAAGCTGCAGCAACTTTCTAGGAGATTGAGCACGTGAGTTGTGGTGCACCGCCCCTTGAAGTTCCTTTGACTGACACATTAGCAGCGACCGTAAGAGTCACAAGGGATGAGACAGCGATTACTTGGGGTAGAGGTGTTGGCGATAGAAGGCCCGCGGCGGATGATAGCACACTAGGGCGTCAAGGCTTGGTTTGTTTCAACAAATTAGCTCAGCTAGGAAAGCTGGCATACGAATACAATTAAAGCATTTCAACTTCACGAGGGTCTCTGGGGGCGTGTTGGGGGCGTGGTCTTGATTATGTGCTGAACCGTAAGCTATCGTGTACAGTGTAGGTTACATGATGGAGGTTTGACAGCGTAAGTCTGGGGTTTTGGGTGACCATGTTGATTATTTTACCACAGACCCCCGGCAATCTTCTCCAAGCTGGTGACAGATACTGAACCTCATGTTCCTTGAAGTGTTTTACATTCGCTTGCATTTGGCAGGTTTGTATACGGTGTCTCAGAGGACCAGGGAAACTGGGGAAACCAGACTTTCAAAAGATGGCGAGAATATTGGGTGGGCTATACAATCCGTTAGCCAAGACGCAAACCAGACTTCAACAAATCCAAGTCAAACGGGGTACCCTTGATCTTACCTCGCAACACCGCCGGGGACATTACACGGCTCGCTCACGACGAAGAAGCTCCACCTCTTTTCGCGCTTACACTGCGCCGCCAGCGCTTCCAGGTCGAAGAGCTCGCCGATGGGCATGCCCCAGCCGGCGAGGAGGACCTCGTGCATCCAGTGCTCCGGGTCGCGGTGGGGCCAGCACTCGAAGGACGGCTGGTCGCCTGCCACGGCGGAGAAGTTGGACCAGACCCAGCGGAGGGTCTCTTCGGATTGGGCTACGCCGGAGAAGGTTTGCGGGCTGGCGGCGAGGTGGTTGGACAGGGTTGAGGGGGGGAGGGAGGCGTGTGTTGCTGTGAAGCCTGTCGTTTTGTTGTTTAAGTCATGTTATCGTAAGAGAGTTGTGACGTGGGAAGAGAGGGACGTGGTATGGGAATTGGGGGCGAGAGGAGAGAAGACAGAAGAGAGAGAGAGAGAGGGGGGGGGGATATACCTGTGCGGGTGATGAGGATATCGCCAAACTTTACCTCGGTGCCCTGCGCCTTGAGGCAGGCTTGGAGGTCCGCGACGGGGATGGAGTCGCGCGCAAAGGGGTCGTAAGGCATGTTTTGCTCGAGGCGCCAGGTGTGGTAGTCTACGAGGATGCCTCTGCCGACGATGCCGTGTTTCTGCCAGGCTTTTTCTGGGATGTCAGCATACTGTTGGAACCCAAGCACACCGTGGTAGGCGCACGGGGGTAGGCTCGACGCTCGACAGAGCTAAACGGAAGAAGCAATTGGGAGAGCAGGGGAAATTGAGAGAGATGGTTACCTTGGATCCCATTCACAGTCGACCGCCTCCCCTCCTCGTCCACGGCGTGGACCTCGTCCATGGAGACGCCGTTGTAGAACTTTTCTTCCTTTTGGTACCCGAAGTGCCGGAGGCCGTCCCACTGCGACGACGACTGCGAGTTGAAGGTCCACTCGTCGTCGTTTACGAAGCGCGGGTGCTTGCGGTAGAGGTCGTGGTGGAAGGCGCGGCGGTTGAAGAAGGGGGCGGATTGGGCTGTCAGGGGCCAGTTGAGGGAGACTCTGTGCGGTCCCGTCAGTTTTTTTCCCCCCAAGATTCCATCATCTCGCATCTCATGAATCCCCTTTCTTCACATGGTACAAGGTTTGGGTATTGTGGACTTCACGTGGAGGAGGACGATGATGGCGATGTGCTCAGATGGTCAGGTTTACCTCGCGCCCGTCTTAATCTCCTCCCTCGCAGCAGCAGCGACGCGCTCGTCCGTCAACCTGTTCAGCGTCCCCAGCTCGTCCTTGTCGCCGTAGAGGCCCCAGGCCGAGAAGCGCGGGTCGTCTTTGCCGAGGGGCAGCGACTCGAACGGCGGGATGCCGTTTTCGTCGAGGGCGAATTTGGAGTCTGCGGGGGCCATTGTCTCTTCGTCTGGTTTAGAAGAGGTCTGCGTGAGCTGGTTGCCGAGCTGTTGGAGGCGCTTCATTGCCATTTCTCTGGTCTTTTTTTTCTTTCCCTTTTCACCTATCTTTCGAGTCTGAAGTTCTGCAGGATTTGGAAGCGCTCCAAGCTTGGTTATGTTTGGTCTGCGACAGGTTCGTTGATTCGATGGGGTAGGTGATGTTATCTCGGCTTGGAGCTCATGCAGGTTGCTTCTCCGCACTTGTGTGAGGCAATCCGATTGTCATTGAGGAGTTGGCGTAGCAGACCGTCATCCGGTCTCTTATTCCCGGGGGCTGGACAACATCGTCCGGGAGAGGGGGTGCCGTAGCGCAACGCAGGATGCATGCCGGTGTTGGCCAAACGTTGCCCCTGCGATTGGCCAGCGGTGATGATGCGAGGAATTCGAAGTTCCTGTGAACGAAGTCTACGACAGCACCGGTGGGGCTTACACGATGGTAGACGAAAGATGAGCAACAGTCCTTTGATGTGTACACCCGGTGCGGATGAAAACCGGCGCCGGAAACGAAACAGGGAGCGAACTGCAATGCCTTGCTTGCAATAACGTGTGATTCAAATTCTGATGCTGATCATATCACATATATCTGCCCGTCTATCCTAGTTTCCCTTCAACTTATCCCAAAACGAGCTGGGGGCCTTTTCGACCGGGGGTGACAGGATGATCGTGTTCCAAACGATCTCGCCGTCAATGTATAGGTTGTACTTGAGAGAGCTCTGCTCGCCCTCCGCTAGGTTCTCAATGGTCAAAGAGCCAAACTTGGAGTTGCCAGAGTGGATGTACCTATGCCTGTTAGTATCGCACCTTGAATGTTCTGCGACTGCACTTACTTGAGAGACACATCCTCGTTGTCGGTCTGTCTGTAGCTTGGCAACGGTGATGCAAATTGGTTCAGCGGACTGCACGAGAACTCGTATGCGGCGGCGCTCTCAGGCCATCTTCCATCGGCGGGAGGGGGAAACTTGGTGGCCGCAAACTCGTGGCGATCGCCAGAGACGACGACAACACCAACGCCCCTGGCGCCAACATCCCACATGGCCTCCAAAATCTTGCGACGCTCCACCAGGAAACCTCCCCACGTATCCTTGCGGTTGATGGGCCAGTTCTTGGTCAGGGGAATCGACGAGGCAACAATCTTCCATTTGACCCCCTTGGGCTCGGGCCGGTTCAGCCAGGCGAGGAAGTCCTCCAGCTGCTCAGCACCCAGCATCGTCTTCTCCGGGCTGTCGGAAGGAACGTCATTGTCGGATCGGTACGAGCGCGTGTCGAGCATGAAGAAGCTCGCGGGGCCCTGGACAAACTCAAAGTAGGTGGCGCCCTGTCTGCGGAGGTTTGTGGTCCCGGCAACGCGAGCGGGAGGCGGGTTGGCCAGCTCCTGGTAGTGGTGCCACGGCTCGATTGCGGCCCGATACACGCCAGTGGTGTTTGACGACCAGTCGTTGCCGATTTCATGGTCATCAAGAACGTGAATCCAGCTGAGGTTCTGTCCTACGGGTGCCCAGTCCGGCGAGGCGTAGACGTGACGGTACTTTTGACGGTAGTCCTCCTCATTCTTGCCCTGGCGTTTGGGTACGTCAATGTAGATGAAATCGCCCAAGAAGAGCATGAATTGCGCCTGCAGACTAGGTAAGACCCTCGCCAAATGGCGCATGCCGGGAATCGCCAGGGCGTGCTCCAAGGGGTTATACGGGAAGCGCGGCAGGATGCACGAAGTCGACAAGAAGGTGAACTTATTGTCGTTAAAGGTCGACATCTGCCCAGCTCTAGGCGGGGCCACGAACTCGCCGCTGTGGTTGTTGGACGTGCGCCACTCATAAACTCTCTGCTGGGAGTGCTTCAGGGGCACGGTCAAGGTTGTCGCAAAGTCGGTCGTGTTGTCGGTGAATCTCAGCCCGCCACCAAGCTGCCACATGGGATTGTCAAAGGGTGGCTGCGGGTCCTTGATGTGAATCTCGAGCGTAACGGGCATCTTGGCCTGGTCGGGTTCGCGAATGACGAATTTTGCCTCTGTCGGAGAGACATATCCAAGACGCACAAAGGAGAGGTCGTCGACCGGATGGTACTGTCGAACGCGGAATAAGAAGTCGGCCGTCATTGCGACCAAGGCCAAGTTGATCAGGAAGGTCAAGATGGAAAGAACAGGGCTGGTCGAGCTCGGTGTTCCCGCCAGGAGCGTCTTTAGTGGACTGGACTTTTCTGTAACGACGATAGTCTCTTCGACCCGGATCTCTTCAGCAACGACATGGCCGTTGGTGGCGCCGCCGACATCCTCGGTAACAGTCTCTTTGACCGTCACGTCCACGTCGTCCTCCACGACATCGTACTTTGGCTCATTAATGTACCCAGATACGAAGGAAGGCACAAAGACTGCAAAGAGTGCGAATATGCTCATGGGCACAGCAGCCTAAACCAACCATGATCAGCACGATGCGCCAAGCCTGGACAGTCAAACGCTCGGGAATAAGTGGAACTTACTGGGCCGGGGAACTAAAGTTGCATCCAATGATTAGCGACCAATTGTTAAAAGACAAAGTTGAAGAACCTACCCATCGCAGAAAGAGGTACGAGACCGCTCTCAACGCGATTGAGGATGTGGTGGCGATGCGCGTCTGAACCGCCATGACGCCGAGAGCTCCGTAGTGGGTAGATGTTGGAAATTGCAGGTTGTAGATGCGAAAGATTGAACTGGTGGAGGAATAGTGGAATTAAATAGTTTGCAGGGATCGTCTGTGAAAGAAAAAAAGGCAAGAGCTGCTCCCCTTGCAGCTGGGTATTGAAGAGAAAGGACGAGACAATGGAAGAAGGTTTGATAGAAGGTGCTGGTGGTACTCCGTGGACCTGCCCTGCCAGAGGTGGAAGCTCTGCCAGACGTGACGTGACAGCTGAGCTGACTTCTGAAGAGATGAGGTCACTGATTGATGATATGCCCCGTACGCGCTGAAACACCGATAACAAGCCACCTCCCGTTGCATGTGAGCGTGGCTGGTGAGGGAGCTGTTGCTGTTGTGGAGACAGTGGACTGGAGGTGCAAAGGTGCCACCTTGCTCTCCCGCACCGCTGCCGCTGGCCCGTGCGTGCTCCCAAGGGGCGTAGCGGCGCCAATTTTCCGCGCCGAACTTTCAATCGTGGCCCGTTCTAAGTGACCCTTTTGGCGACAGCTTGTCCAGAATCCCCTGCTTCACGAGTCGACGAGAGATACCCTCACGCGCCCACCCAGGACTCTCCCCACGCAACAACACATCATGAGGGTGTCCGCCATTGCCTGCGGGCTTTTTGCCTGCTTCGTTTCCCAGGTCGCTGCCACGGCATTGACCTACAAGCTCCACGCCAATGAGAAGGCCTGCTTCTACGCCAAGACCCAGAAGGATAACGAGAAGATTGCCTTTTACTTTGCCGTGCGTTCACCACCACTTCAAAGTGCTGCATCAAGCTAACAGCGATGCGTAACAGGTCCAATCCGGTGGTTCCTTCGATGTCGACTACACCGTCACCGGCCCGGGCAACAAGATGATCCTCGATGGAGCCAAGGAGCGCCAGGGCGACTTTGTCTTCACGGCCCAGCAGATGGGCGACTACGAGTTCTGCTTCAACAACGAGATGAGTACCTTTGCCGAGAAGTTTGTCGACTTTGAGATTGCCGTACGTTCCCGAATAACTCCCAACCCAAGCTCTACTGACCCATGCCAATCCAGGTCGAGAACGAGGTTCGCGCTCAGCTTCCCGCCAAGCAGGGTGCCTCTCCCGAACAGCACTCCACCCTCGAGGAGACCATCTTCAAGCTCTCCGGCCAGCTCTCGACCATCTCGAGAGGCCAGAAGTACTTCCGCACCAGAGAGAACCGCAACTTCAGCACTGTCCGCAGCACCGAAGGCCGCATCATCAACTTCAGCATGATCCAGTGCGCCCTCATCGTGCTTATGGGAGCTCTGCAGGTGTTTATCGTTCGCTTCTTCTTCCAGGGCGCGCGCAAGGGCTACGTATGAACGGCGCAACGAACCAAAAAAGTTTATTCTGGATTTCATCGCGGCGCGGGGTAAAAGGAGTCACCAGGGACTCGTGTATATCACAAGTAAAAAGAGACTCGATGTGGTTCACGGAATGAGATATCTACGACGATCAAAATTCAGCGCTGTTGTCATGAAGAAGGGAGTCTGCGGGTCGACTGGTCCGTAACTGGGAGCCTTGGAGCACATGTAGCACCGGTACCGCTAGTGGACTTGATGAATGGTTTAATGAGTGTTCTCCCTAGAGTCGAGGTTCTTTGTGACGAGGCTGTTGCCATGATGTGTTTGCCCGCAGGTGTCGGGGCCGAGAGCTTGAACGCTTTCAAGGCCCGACGGACCAACAGGTACTATTTGCGACGTCCCGCCAGGCCACACTTTCCCAGATGCCAGCCACTGCCTTTCCTCGCACACTACTCTTCCACCAAACTTTGGGACCTACAGCTGTCGCAGTTGTGCTAGAGACATTGATAGACGGCATCAACCACTGCCATCCTCAGTGAGCTGTCGGCGACATTTGATTGGCTGAATCTGTGGCTCGTGCACAAGCCACGGCAGGCTGCAGGTAGACCCGCAGTGGTCTTCCCAGCTCGGGCTTGAGCTTCACGAGCTGCGATAGCAACGGTAGCCTCGCGTGCGACCTGTGTAGGTCCTTTCTAGCGACTTTGCTCGGACATATCGCAACCTCACGCGCGCATCCTCCCATGATCAGCGATACTTATGGACCCGAAACCGCATACGCCAGCCCAATCCGCCGCGCCAACGAGCACCTCCAAAACAACACACCACCTCTGCTGAGGTGGATCGCGACTCGTCAATGCCGAGGGACTCGCGCCGCAGCTCCAAAAACCCAAAGAAGCACAAGGAACAGCCAAAGGAGGAATGGTACATCATTAAGGATATCCTAAAAGAAAGGCGAAACGGCTCGAATATTGAATATCTCGTCGATTGGGAAGACAACCCGGAAACCGGCGAGCGATACCGTCCCACGTGGGTAAGTCTAAGTGCCCCCCCCCCCCTTGTTTATCGGAGCGATTGTTAACTCCAACCAGGCCCCAAGCAAGGACGTCACCTCGAAAGCGATATTCGATTGGAGAAGGAAACTCGATTTGGTCTATCAGGAGGACGGCACCGCGCCAGCAGGAGAGCCTGTATTGCGGGACGTCCGAGGTGTAGCACAGCAGGGCTCACCGGCGCGTACTCCGTCCACCAGGTCGATCGACAGTAGCCAGCCCGTGCAGACGGCAAACAGACGCAGGAGACCACAGTCTAGGCAGTCAGAAGACCTGCAGAATCCGGACTCGGACAACGACTCGAACCCACCTCAGCAGAAGCGGTACCCTAGTGAGGTTCCTTCCCTGCTGTCGTCGGCATCAGAGGTTGATACCGACGCTGCCTCGGATGTTGTATACAACAACACCACGGCCAGCTTCTTCGTGGCGATTCCCTCCAAAGTAGATCGCGACTTTTCAGAATACATTAGTATATCCGACTCGCGAGGGTCAACGTCGCTCAGCTCGCAGCCCATCTCGGCCCTTGAAGACGAAGACAGCCAAGTAGTCATCACCGAGGGCCTCAGTCAAAGGACGATCCCCGATTCTCAAGAGTACTCAGCATTCGATACCCAGGACTCGCCGTTCTCCAGCAGACAAGGAGCCTCGACAAGCAACAAAGGGGACGCCTGTGTCGAGCGTGAGATTCCGGATTCGCAAAAGCAGTCTAGCCTGAGGACCTCCCTGAGTAAGTCTACGGATTCCCAGGCCCGATACCTCAGTCCAGCGGATCACCGTTCACACTTCTTTGTGCGTCGGACACCCTTGGAGTCGCCTCACCCGGCATCTCAGAATCACCCACCGGAGCCGGTGTCATCGGGTTACATCCCTTTGACGCAGAACAGCCCTGAACCAAGCCAGGGCCCAAGCTTTGACCTCGACCAAGCCTCACCTTTTAATCGGCATTCCGCCGTAGAGCCTGCAGCATCGCACCCACCTCGACGCGCCTCACGTGAACACGACTCCCTTCCTTCAGTCTCTGATAGGTCAATTCCATCTCATCAGATCGACGACCTGCGCGCAGTCGAGCAGGCTGAAAACTCCGCCATTGGAGACTATCCCCAGGACTCGCAGCCTACCAGGACGCCCATTTTCCTCACCCAGCCTGCCTTTGATTTCGACACCTCGACTTCTCAAGCAACTTCATCAGCGAAGAGCGCCTCCAGCAAGTCGCAACAACAGACCGAAAATCAGGAGTGGGCGACTGAGCAAGTCATTGCTTGTTCTGACACACGCCCCAGCCAGAACACGCAAGCTGCTCAAGTCGTTCAACCTCTCCTAGATATTTCCGCAAGCCAGAGCTCCACGGAAGAGCCTGTGGTCCCTGATACCGTCCGTCGAAGACCTTCGCGCATACGCTTCAGTCCCACAGTCACCAGTTCAGGGTCGCCTCCATCACAACGCGACGAGGACGAGGTTTCCGAGGCCGACAGTTTTCAGACTTGCTTCGAAAGACGGTCACTCCCCCCTCATCCCTCATCATCCAACAAGTCTCAGGGCTCTGACCGGCCGCTGAGTCTACCTCCAGCCATGGACACTTCGGGCGATGAACCACTCTCGGCGATAGAGGAGCTGATGAGGATCCAAGAAGCTGCGTTGCAAGGCACATTAGGCGAGGCAGGATTGACGAGTCCGACGACTGAGTCGGCTCAGATTCGTCACGATGACCCCTCACTGGACGCGGATCTTGCATTCTCAGCGCCCATGGATCATCCATCCATCCAAATCAACTCGCAGCCGCCTCTCACAGGAAACTGGACCATGGGAGAGCCAGTCACGTCGTCTACAGATATGCCTGGACTTGCCGGCGCCCCGGTCGAGCCGGCGATGGAGCCTCTGATCCACGAAGAGCACCAAACTGCTAGCATGGGAGACATCTTTCCCAGCAATCTCATGCCACCTGAAGCAGCCGAGCAGCTTCCCATCACCATATCCCCCTCAGACATTAGCAGATCAGTCGAGCCCGAGGAGGCATCGAACACACTTCCTCAGCCCGAGGACCATCCTATGGATATGCTACCGGAAGACCAGACCACCGCAGGCGACCAGAGCACTGTCACTTCGCCGGACATTGAAGAGCCATACCTTTCAGGTCCCCCTACGACCGTGGACCAGAGCGAATACTTGGTTACGCTCTCGTTTCCGGCCAACATTCGCCCCCTGTATCGGAGCACCATCAAGTCCTATCGCAATATGATTGAGCAATTCACCAAGGATATGCAGTCCGAGGAAGACGTCCCCGATAAAACCGCTATAGAGTCTATTAGCAAAATGCTCAGCCAGCTTCGCGACATTTGCGACATGCCCGCGCCTCTCGACGGTGACTCGATTGATGCCTTGTCAGCAGAAGACCTCAAGAAGCATGCCATGGGCACCAATAGCAAGTTCTTCTTTGTGGGCCGATTCCTCGAGCGACTCCAGACAAGCCACAAGAAGATACTCATTCTTGCGCGTGATATCAACGTCATCGGGTACCTCGAGGCTATCGTCGGCACCGGGGATATGGCGTACTCGCGAAAGGGGTTGCATGAGCTGGAAAGCCAGGATGAGCATTCTCTGCTCGTCGTTCTCGTGCACTCCGAGCAGGCTCTCGTCGATGACCTAAGCGACTTTGACGTCGTCATTGGATTCGACAATGGCATTTTGCAGACAGACCTCCTTGATCAATGGGGCAAGATGAACGGGAAGAAGCCAATGCTGCTGAGGCTCACGACGACGTGCTCTATCGAGCACCTGGAGTTACTGTTGCCGGCGGATTTCACGGGCTTGGTACGACAGAATGCGCTATGCATCGCCGTGTGCCAGTCAAGAAAGATGAGCTATCTTGACGAAAGAGATAACCAGGGCGTCATGATTGATCACTACGCAGTTTCGTTTGCCAATCAGGCAATCCTTCCCGACCCCGGCTTCGACTGGGACCCTGAGCTTATCCCCTCCTCTGTTCTGGACTTGTACTCGAGCAGCCAGCCCGAGAGCCAGGCGGAGGAGCCGACCCGCAAGCGCAAAACTGTGAGTTGCCCTTTTGTGGTATAGAATCAGTGCTAATCAGGTGCGTAGGATGGCGAGCAGCAGCAGGCTGTCAAACGCCTTCGGGTCAGCCCGCTCCCTGGACAAGATCCGGGAGACATTGACGCAGCGGTTCGCAGTCAGTTGAATCCTCGACCGTCACAGCTGCACGTCCAGACGACCCAGGAGCATCTGGACACTCTAACGGATAAGGTAGGGAGCGTTGGCACGGCTCAACATTACAGATTGCTAACGGAGTATCAGGTGTCCGAACTCGAGCATCAGCTAGAGGAGAAGAACAGCATGGAGTCCAATCTCCGGAAACAGGTCATCAATCTCTCCAAGAGGGTCAAGAGCTACGACGAGACCACCAACTCCATTCAGGCGGCACACATGGCGTCGCTTCGGGAACGGGCCAAGTTCGAGGCTGAGCGCGATGAAGCAAAGAGAAAGGAGGAACAGGCCCTGGAAAAGAGCCGCGAGTGGCAAGAAAAGGCCCAGGCTTTCGAAGAGAAGTTAAAGGCCAAGAGCGCCACTCTCGAAGAAGCCCTCGTCAACGCCGGCTCCGTCGCGACGGAGACGTTCAAAGAGAAGACGGCAGAACTCGAAAAGGCCTTGGCCAAGGTGGCAGAGCTCGAGAAGAAGCTCGAGAGCCGGGACGGCGAGCTAAGCTACGCGAGAGACGCGTATCAGACGGCCAACCATTCCAACAGCGAGCTCTCTCGCGAGAACCGTGAGCTCAAGGAACAGGTGGCCGCGATGCAATCGTCAGTCCCGGGTAACCTCGCGCAGGTCCTCAACGTCACGGCCAACGCCGGACAGCAGGTCAAGGAGATGCAGAGGCAGATTGCCGAGACCAAGGCCATCACCAAGGACCGCGAAAAGGAGCTCGCACGCGTGGAGAAGGAGCTGCGGGCGCTCAAA